TACTCAAAAACATCTTCTCCCATAACAAATTAATTACAGAGGGTCAACTCACTTTTTAAAGATATTGATGTAGTTTTCTAGAATGATTGTGGCTATTCTAGAATTTTGGAAATAAAAAAGTGGATTGGTTAGCTAAGAAAGCTATAAAACTAAAAATCAATTCCAATATGAATCTTCCCAGATCCTATTCTTTATTCAGAGATCTCCTCAAATAGCACTTTCCAGCAGTTAACAATGAGATTTATTCAATGATTGTATTAGATTTCTACATGTTTTCAATTCAACTATTTTTAAAAAATATTTTTAGCATTCAAAACATAAAAAACCAAAAATAAATATTTATATTTACTTGAACTGTAGCAGAAATTTCTGCTGCAAATCCCCCAGTCAAAGGAGCTTCATGAGCAACAAGTAGACGTCCAGTTTTTTTCACCGACTACATAAACATAATTAAGAATCAATTTTAAAAAATGTTTAAATCCAAATTCTACATTGTTTTAAAAAATATTAAAGTTTTAGAAAAAATGTAGAAATAAAATAATCAATTTAATTTCAGTTCTGTACATTATTCAAATACCCTCAAATGAGACTTTTTATCTTAGATAATTTTCCGTACTTTTACATACAAAAACAGATTGTTTTCTTTTAATTGCCATAGAAATATTTTTTTCCATAGATTTGTCATTAATCAAAAAATTTTGTTCTTCTTTATAATAACCAAGGAATAGTTGGCATCTCTGACTTTACGATATACATAAATAACATTACTTACATTGATAACTGTTTCTTTATCCCATGGAAGAATTGTAACTAAATCTATAAGTTCACAAGAGACATTTAGTTTGTCTTGAGCTAATTGACAAACTTCACGTAAAACATGTACTTGTGTTCCCCAGCCAATAACAGTCACATCATCACCTGCAAACATTATAAACTTCATCAGGAAGCTGTAGTAAATTAAAATTTTAATATAAATAATTATTTTACATATTTAAAGAAGTAAAAAAAATATATAAAAAAAAATAATAATAATAATAATATTTTAATTTTTGTTCAAAATGTTTAATTTCATATTATTTGCAGCTGAAATATGTGAACTGTGACAGATTCAACAATACAAAGAAGGACTTTTTTTACAGAAATTATTATGCCTTACATAAAAATAATTAAGTTATATGAAAAAATTCACTTAAGATGAAAAACAGTCTAGTGAATAATTTTTAAATAACATATTGATAAAAAAGTAACTAATATCTGAAAATTACTAGTTCCTTATTCAATATTTAAATCAATCAATTGTCTACAATTTAAATCTAAATCCATCTGAAAGTTTTTTTTTTAGAAAATGATTAAAAAATACAAATTTATATTGGCATTAAACTATAATGATGGTTTAAAATTTTACTTAATAAATATTTTATTTGACATACATAATTGCCAAGTCAATGTAATAAAAGAATTGAAAAAAAAAACCATAATTATAAAATAGATAGATTTTAATATGCCATAATTCTTATGTATGATTATTCAATATACAGTTTTAAGTTTTGTCCTATCATAAATTGAGTATTTTTATATACAATAATAATAAAAAAAATTATCTAATAGAGAATAATATGGATAATTAAGCAGCATGCAACATATATTTCATTAAAACAAAATACTTTTTTTTATTTTTACCTGAATTTTGGAAATTTCATTAATTCAAAATTTTAAAATAATAACAAATTTAGTTTAATACTATTAATACATTACTTCATTTTGATAAGAAAAACCATCTTAATTATTCACATTTCGAAATTCAGTTTGCTATTATATTCTATCGGAATTTTACAATATTATGTTCTTAAATAAAACAATTCTAATTTAAAGTATGAATAAAAATAACTAAATTTAATTTAATTATAAACTCAATTAGATAACTGAGAAAAATTATGTATTTCTTTGATTGACATTTTTATTACATGTTTTGTCAACTCATCATCAAAATCAATTATCAATGCTTTTTCAATTTTTGGTTGAAAAGCATTTTCTAACATTGTCATTAATAATGATTAGGATACTGAAAATAAAATAAAATTTGTAAGCCTAAATTTTCTGTTAGTTTGTTTGAATTGCTCCTTCCTATTGTTGTTTACTCTTTCAACATTTTTTCCCAATATGTATATTATTATGTATGAATTTTATAAATTTTAATAAATAAATATAATGTCAATGTTAAATACAGTTAGAAATTTTTATCAGTCTAGTTCTGGACCTTAAAAAAAAAAAAAAAAAAAAAAAAAAATTACACACCCTGGTGGACAAGCACAAAGTTATTTAATTTCTAGAGATGGTGTAATGATCAAGTCATATGCTCAACTGCAGGTGCATTGTCTCTTCATGATAAATAAGGCAGTAACATTCAATGAGACCTTTTTGTTTCAAGCAGGAATTGTGCATTAAGGATTAAAAAAATGCAAGGATGTGGCAGATTGGCAAAAAGATGCAATTGTGCTTAGCCATGCTTATGGACATATGGTCAGTGAAGTTCTCAGTTTTACTGCTGTTTTACAATGAAGTGTTTAATGTAGCCATGAAACATAATATCAGAACTGTGGTTGAAATAAGATCCTAGTGAGAATGACAAAAGAAGAGTTTAACAGCTTGTGAGTCAAAATCGCTTCTAAATCCAACAGAAATTGCTGCAGTCAGTGAATGAAGATCAATCCCAACCTGCTAGCTACAGAACATAGGGACAGGAAATGTATTCAATGGAAATTTGAAGTTGGGTACCTCGCATAGGCCATTGCTCACACAGGCACTTAAAGTCTGACTTGAACCTACAAACCTGAGAAACTTACACCAAAATCCATATCCCCACAATTTGGTGGATTTACAAGATCACATCCTCATCGAGAGACTTAAACTGGATGTGACATGCAAGCAGAAAGTTGTAGATTCCCTTCCTAACCAAATCCAATTGGTTATCAAGTCCAGAGGAGTTACACCTTATTAATCTGATTTCTCTATGGGTGACTAATTTTTTTGTCTGGTGAACTTATTTAGGAAATTCAAATTACTCAATTATTCCTATACACAGTATATAATAACATTAATACAAAACACAGTATATAATAATATTATTAGAAATTATATGAATACAAAATAAAAGAAAAACATGTATATATGCAAAAATACAACAATATACACATATACTGCAAATCTTTTCAGATGGCTTATATGTTTAAATTAGGAATTTAAATACCTTCTGTCAAAATTTCAGCTTTGGAAAGAGGTAATTCATAATCTTTCAATGGAACTTGTTCTACAGCCATTCTGTATAAAATTTTGGGTTCAAAGAAAATACAGGGATTTTTGTCCCGTATACAGCTCAATAAAAGACCTTTGGCTTGTAAAGGACCACGAGGAATAACTACCTGCAAAAAAAGGAACAATGATTGTTCATGGTTACAGGCAAAAACATCTACAAAATAGGTATATTAAGAGAATTTTCTAACAAATTAGAGAAGAATATTAAAGAAAGACTATTAATGCTATTTTAACTACTTTAAAGAAATAATATCTAAATTCATTGCAATAAACAACTATACATTCAAAAAGAAATAATTGCTGAGGAATATTAATACAACATAACACATTACAAGTATTCTTTCGAAAGTGCAGCCTTTTTCATCCAAATCAACTTAATTCAAGAGATAATTTCATTAGATAAGTCCTAATATGATTGATAACCAGTTATTTTATGATGTTCTTTACACATGCTCCTAAATATTTAATTAGAATGCTGAATTATTTTTTGAAAAAATTGTAACACTTTCAGATTATATATTCAATTTATTTGGTTAATTGGGAGGGGGGGTTAGAGGACGATGATGGTTCAATAATATTGGTATTATATCATATTTTTTAAGTCGAAAGTTAGAAGTTTGTATTCTTCAGAATAAAACACTTTAAAAAAAAAATCAGAAATAAATAAATACATATATCACAAAGATAAATTTTGTTTGAAAAAATTGATTCCTTACTAAACAATTCAGAATTTTAAATAAAATTGAAACAACTTTTAATAAATTAATTAGAACAAAACAAGTATGGAGAGTTCTGTTTACCTTAATTCCTGGCACATGGGAAAAGAAAGCTTCTGGACATTGAGAATGATAAAGAGCTCCATGTCCAACAGCTCCATAAGGAGCTCTAATTGTTAAACCACCACAATCAAATTCATTTCCAGATCTAAATCGTACTTTTGCAGCTTCATTTGTAATCTATTAAAAATTGAACACAGTGTAAACATTTGATTAATAAAATTAATTGAATTTATTCTAGCTTATTTTTTTCTATTTCTGATATACCTGATCAAAGGCTGGATAGATATAATCAGCAAATTGTATTTCAGCAATAGGTGTTGCACCAGCAATAGCCATACCTATCCCAAATCCTACAATTCCCTGTTCACATAATGGAGAGTTAAAAACTCGATCACGACCTAAAAAAATTATTATGTTACATACATAAAAATATTTAAACTAAAATCTATAAAAAATAAAATAAAATTCTTAATATTACTTTAAAAAAATTCTTCTATATAATAATTTTTTTTTTTTTTTTTTTTTTTTTTGAAAAATTGTAAATTAAACATAAAGTTATGTTAATTTCGTATGTTAAAATTTGACTTATTTTAGAATACTTAAATCAAGTAGTTGTTCAGAATTAATTTTTTATTCATTTGTGATTTTATTATGGAGATATAATGGTGTATAATTAAAAAAAATGTCTCTAAAATTTATAATAATAAAATTAGTTCTTCATAACATTAATTGATTTTTTTTTTCTTTTTTGATTATGTGAAATACAAAATAATTACCATAATTTCCTATATATACTCTACAGATTATATGCTAAAATCCCTTAAAATTTCAAAGATGAGGATTACTGCCTGTTGTCTAAAATTTACAGACATTCTTTTTCCTATAATTATGTATAATTGTAATAGGGCCAACGGCCGTACCATGCTGAATATACCGGTTCCTGTTAGATCACCGAAGTCAAGCATCATTGGGCGCGGTCAGTACTTGGGTGGGTGACCACCTGGGAACACTGCGTGCCGTTGGCAAATTTGGGACCTGAATGGCCGAGTGTCTAGCGCTCGGTGCCACAGGTTTCGGGTTCGAATCCCGGCGGTGCCATGGATGTTTGTAGTGGTTCGGAATTCACTTTAAGCCGTAGGTCCCGGTCTCCTATGACTGTAAGAGCGTGACGGAGCAAAAGTCAGGCTTCTACCTATGGGTGCTCCATCACAACAGAAGCTGCTTCCTTCCCCTTCAATCATGAGTACGTATGGGCTCGTGGGCTTGGCCAGCCAAGTGGGATAAGAAACAACAACATAATTGTGATATTAGAAACACTCTTAAAGAGTTTGTTCATTTTATATCATAGATATAAAACATAACTTGATAGGTATATGGTTGAAGAGCAGCTATGAATCCCCTGTGGATTCTATGAGATTTTTTTATTTTTTCAGGCCAAAAAATACATTTGCAGGTTATATAGCACTGCAGATTATAGGCAAGAAATAATGGTACATATTTTAAAAAACAAAAATAAAAACTCCCTCTTTTTGTTTAAATATTCTTTAAATTAGAATTTCTTTTCCATATAATGACTAAAATTTAGTAAGTAATTCATATTGATAAAAATTCAGTAATTACTTAAAACACAAACTAACTAAAAATAGTTAAAACATTGAAAAATCAACTTATGCTAAATAAAAAATCAAAGCCAATATATTTAAGAAAATTCTTATATTTATGTAATTTATTTTTAGCAACATATGCTTCTTTTTTAAACAAAATAGTTTTATTTCATATATAACAATATATTTAGCAAAAAAATGTTTAATTAAATAAATGAAAGTTGTTTTATACACAATTAATTTTGAACTTCTCAGTGATCAAAATCAGTGAACTTTTTAAAAATGCTATTCAAAATTTGTATTACATAAAAATTCAATGATAATGGATAGCAAAATATATTTTCCTAATTCCTAAATTATTTAAAATATGCGGTTCTCAAATTGTCTCCTGGGGAATCCCAGCTTCATCATAACGATGCTGCGAAATATTTCAAAGTTTTCATTTTACTACTATTTATTAGAAGCAACTTTTCAATAAATTAAATTAAAAACACTTAAATTTTAATTAAGCATTAAATTTCATTAATACTTAGTTACGTTAATAAAGTTTAGTTAATTAACTTAGTAAGTTTTCTAATAGTACCTTAATTATAAATACTCTGTAGTTATATATACTATTAGAATTACTATTAGTATATATACCTTAGTTATATATACTAATAGTACCTTAGTTTACTTAATTAAGTTTGGTTAGTACTTAAATTTCTTAATTTCTTTACAAATAAAACTTAATAATTCGTTTTAACCTAACCATCTAATTAAAAAAAATTATTATTTCTTAAAATATAATTTCTAGAAAAGAATTAGTCAGTGAAGGTACTGATAATTGGATTTTTTCTTCAGTATATTTTTTGAAAGATTTGTTAAGCATGCAGAAAACAATAAATTTTTATCAAAGAATTGAAAAAAAAAAAAAAAAAGGATTTTTAATTGAATAATCTTATTGTATTTATATTTAACTCTATCAAATATGTGTTCCATGAAAATCTTAATGCAGCAAACTCGCACAAAACATTTGATTAGTAAAAAGAGAATTCTGATAATGTAGCAATATATAAAAGGCTATAGTGGGACAAACATAAAAAAAAATCAAAGATATTTAATAGCTATATCTTGTTTTCCTTCTTTGGAAACAAGCTATATCTTGTTTTCCTTCTTTGGAAACAACCATATCTTGTTTTCCTTCTTTGATAAAAATTTTACAATTTATTTCTGGAAGTTTTTTTATTATCACTTAGTGATTTTGTTTAAATATTGTATGGATCCATACCATAATTTTGGAAGAACTACATGATGAAATCTGAAAATACTTATTTTCTACAGTAATTAGATATTATACTTTCCAAGAAAAAGTTTTTATAGTAAAATAAAGTACAATATTTACATAATATTATATTTAATGAAGGAATTAAATTTAAAAAGTAAAAAAATTATAACTTATTGTATTAAACACATATTTACCATATTTATCTTGTAATCCAACTGTACATCGAAAAACACCTCCAAAACCTACATCTTCACCAAATATAACTAAAAATAAATGAAAAATAATGATGTCATTATAATTATTTTAATGTCAATAGAATAATTATCAATATAAATAAAAAGGAGTTTTTGATCACATAGCAATATTTAAATTGATAAACTTTGATTTATCAATTTGAATATTGATTATGTTAACCTTGAATGAAATCCAGTTTCCTTATCCAGTTTTGTATAACATAGATTAATATTTAATGTAACTAGAAAATGCACATGCATTGCTACTGTATAACTGAATACTTATTGAATATAACTAAGTTACATTAAAATAATTTACATTAGAACTTATTTACTTTAAATATATTATTTTAAGAAGGGATCTGCAGCTTTTACTGTCAAAATTGGACTGTAGAAAGAAAACAATTCTGCTCTAATATACAGAGTGACTATAAAATAACTTTACCTGTTTGGAGAAATCTACAGTTAAAACTAATGAACAAAATGATATCAAATTTCATATACAGACTGTGAAAGATGTAGTCCTAAAAAAAAGAGATAATAATGGTAATAATGATAATTAAATAAAATATATATAATAATAGGGAAGATTTTGGAGCTGCTGTCATGTATACACTTTGAAGTTTTACAATTTTACAATCTAAGTAGATTTTTCAAATTTCCTAGTGCTTATATGACATTAGATCCTATTACCTGCACCGTTACTAGTGAGAAATATTGGCAAATGCTGAAAACTTTTGTGATTTCTGAACTGCAGCAAAGACTGTGGTCAAACATAACAATTTTTATACACAATGGAGCATAACCACATATTCTTCATTCAGTACAGAACATTTCACAGTTGTATTTTGATAATGGAATAGCCATCACGTTCCCCAGACATCACCTCATGTGACTTTTAGCTGTGTGGGATACTTTAAATCCGTCCTGATGCTCGGGGCATTGTAAACCTGATTTCCTTGAAAGTGAAGATAAAAACTAGCTGTTACAAGCATCCAAAGTAGAGAATGTCATACACTGGATGCAACATCTTGTATACAGGAAAGGTCAGCACATTAAAAATATTGCATGTGCCCTGCAGACCCTAATGTTGATTAATAACAGATTATTTTCCTTGAGTTTCATATTGTTGTTATTCATTTCTGCATGCATATTTTTTTATTATTCGAACATTATAATGAAACTTGATATAAATTATTTTCTGTGCATCCATTATAATTATTGACTTTTTTTCATTTCCAACAGCTCTAAGTCACATATGAAATGGGAAATTTGATTTAGTTGCGGAAATTTCATAGTGCATATGTGACAGCAGCGCCAACATCTCCCCATCAGCTACTTTTGTTACTTTTTTGGCGGAAATAATCTCCCCGTGTCTTCCACAGTCTGTATATGAAATTTTGGTTTCATTCTGTTCATTAGTTTCAGTTGTAGATTATTCAGTTGTATTATTCTATGAAAAAACATATTAATCCATAAAATACATATAATATAAATAAAAAGTATATTTTGACTTTAAATGACTTCCTCCATTATTTGAAAAAATAACTAGGTATTTCCTAAAACAACAGATTTTAAATTTTGAAGGTTATAAACATATAATAAAATAACATAAATAAATTACTTGTTTGTAATTCGCTATGATAGTACAAATAAAAGTTTTGCTATGAAAATTATTTCCTGTTCAACTTTTTAATTCAGTATTTGTTATTACAAAGCAATAGAACATTTTTGGCTTTTCCTATTTATTGAAAATTACAAAAAGATATTTAACTTAATTCAGAATTTTTATAAAATTTTATACAGGTAATTCTAAATTTTAAAAATGTTAATAATTTTTTTAAATTTTTGTTTTACAATTTTAAATTGAAAAAAAAAACATTAATTTTTTTTTAAAATTTATGCTAAGATTTTATATTCTAAAATGTAAGAAAAAAAAGGCAGAGGTTTAAAAAATTAAAGAAAAACAAGTTTTAATTTCAAATATGTGCATTATTAACCAAAAACTAAACCTTGCATTAATTTTCAGATATTATATCACAGCTCCACTGCAGTCTAAATGTGAAAATATGAGCTTATCTCCAAACTTAATAGCACAATTTCTAATGTTTGGTTACTTAAGTGACATAAATTTAAACCTTTTATACTAGAGATTTTATAATCTCTCTGCTATGCAAATGTTTTAATCATATTTTTTTTTATCATAAATGCTCAATTTACAAAATGAAATTAGTTATTATAGATTAAAACACAAACCTGCAGATGAATCAGCTGCAAGAGCTAAATCTAATGCATTTGTAACAGCTTGAAAAAAATTCATACGAGTTGTTTCTCCTATAACAAAAAATAGAAGCCAAATTACAAAATATTTTAATGCATCAAATTAAATAATATATAAACCAACAGAACAAGGGTAAATGTTAAAACCAATTTAATGTTTATTTAGCAGGAGTTAGTAAAATGAATTTTATTGTATTATCTTATTATTTAAAATTCATTTTATTATTTTTTAGCATATTGATAGATTACTAAAGGAAAGCAGGCCAATAACAGCCTGGTGGATAGCACTTTGGTTTTTAATACATTGAGAGAGATTAGTTTAAAATTCCACAAGCAACTATTAAACAAAAGCTTTTGTGTTTATTTTACGGGTGGCACAATAAATCTGTTAGCCAGAAAGTCTTCTATCAGGTTAGAAGAGATGCAAGCAATTGTTTGGATAGAGCGCACCTTTTTGCAGTACAATAATAATTATATTTCATACTGTCATTGCTAGTGGGATGTAGGAAATTTAGTGTACATTTGAAATAAACTTAATCTAAAATTTTTTTGTAACATACAGAGTTTGAAATCGGATTTGAATTAATCTGAAAAGTGAAAAAAATTTGTATACTCTACAAAATAGAATATTTCAATG